TGGGATGGTTGTAGAGAGGACCAAGTCCACAGTGCTAACTTCTTCAATTCCACCAACTGTGCCCTGGGATAAGAGTTCTTGCAGAAACATACTGGGGACTGAGCATTGTGGAGGTACCCACACCAGTCATTAGTTTGTATAAGAGACAAAGTTATATTATTTTATTCCTATCTGGCACTAATGGTGATCTTTATTAGAAGCCCAAACAGTGCTTTGCACAAAGGGCCTGCAATGCTGACTTGGAGCTTTGGTTATAACAGCAGCAACAATAGCAGTAGTCTCAGTCTCTAGTATGATTATCATCACCATGACTTTTGTTGTTACTGCTATTTGCATTATGTAGCACTTACAAGCCCTAATCAACCATATACAGAGTCCTGCCTCCTTAGGCTGGGCAATGTACAACTGCAGAACCCTGGCCTATGAGCCAACAAGACAGTATCGACCAGGGGGATAAGCAGCAGTCTCTATAGTCTCTCTCCAGCTCTCGCGCTTGTATGCATTCAGGCGTGGGTGGATTCTGTTTGTGTTTTGTTTTCTATTTGGCATTCAGGGAGATTGGGAAGTCGGTCAGTCCTAAAATGATGCAGCCTTGTTTGCTATTAAACTGTATGAACTTCTTAAAAGTTTTTAGTAAATAGCAACATTTCCAACAATCCGTCTAAGGCGACTAACCTCTGAGTTGTCTATTTGGGGGTCCCAGCACTCACCTTATTCTTGGGCGGCAAGAAAACATTGCTGATTCTCACCAAGCTGAGAATGAGGGCAATGGAGGAGAATACAACCACAGCTACCAGAAAGGCATAGGTGAAGTACTTTGAACTGATGGCCATTTCCAAAATGTAACCTGGAAACACATACAACACAAACAAAGAGCACAGGAGGAGGAAGTAAATTCAAAAGGTGGTTGAATATGGCCAGCTGGGAGCATTGCTGTTACCTAAGCAGCAGAATTAGCAAGGAGATCTTCCCAGAGATCCTCTTCACTACAAATCCTGTTTGTATACGTTATACATTTCACAACTTTCAGTGCATGCCGAGGTAACCATTGGAAGCTACCACGAGACTAGCAATGCTGGGATGAATAGGACGCCCAAAAGGAACGTGACTCACCACCTGAAAAGTCCGTGGCACAACTAAAAACATAAGCCAGTGATACCTCCCATCTAAACTCCTCTACTCTTTTTTTTTATTTACCTCCTTGCTAATGTTGAGGATATCCATTAGGGTTAAACAAGAAAGAACAAGACCTAGAGGGGTAGAAATGTTATTTCCAGTATCCTCAGAGAAGCCAGAGTCAATGGGAAGCGGTTTTGGTTAATGAAAGCAACACAACCTTTCTCCTAGCATTGTTTCTGATAGTCTCTAGACTCAGGCAATTCTAGAGCTGCACTGTGCTGCTGGTCTTATATTTGCAAGGTTATTGTCACGAGGGCTGTGTGAGGCTTCAGACAGAGCTTTGGATCTGGAGAAGCTTCGGCTGCTTCGGGGTCCAAGCAGCATGTCTGGGTCGAAGCGCTGCCTCGTTCGGCTTCCCAACGCGCTTCGGAGCTGCTTCGGAGATCCGGCCATATCTATAACTTTGTTGTTTTTTGTCCAGTTTGAATGAAATGTTCAGGGGTGGTAGACTCTGCAGCGAGGATGAAGTCTGCTATGTTTCAAGAAGATTGGTGCGGGGGTTTTGGGGCAACTGTACCCCAAATTCTTGGAAGCAAAACTCCTGTCACGTCTATGTGTTACAACATGGGGGTGGGGGGTCAAAACTGCAGGGCTGGTAGCTCTTGCTGAGGTCACAAAGCCT